AGAGGTAGACCTAGATTAGATTACTGTTCGCAAATAGTTAAGGATGTGGGTTGTTCTAGTTTTAGGGAAATGCGAAGTTTAGCTCAGGGTAGTAAAGAGTGGAGATTAAGACCTTATGATAATGAATAAAAATTGATCCATTTCTACATCGTCTTCTTCTTTACCACCCTGCATATTGTTTAGAATAGCCTTTTTTCAGACTTGCTCCCTTTACAGGGCCGTACGGTTTGTGTAAAGCCCCTTAGTTTCATCGTTATATACGTTGTTCTTATCAAAAGTGTTGCTATTGTCTGGGACTATTAATTTCAATCGCATTTACCGTCATGTCGTTATAAACGATATCCACTGCACCTAAACTAAATTGTGAATTTTAGCATGGACTTTCAAGTGATTAAACTTCCCCCTCCCGTTTCTTTTTATTGAAGGGTCGTTAGAGAGTCCTCCTAATGGTAATAGCAATTTACCTCTATTTTTAGAAATGGGTTAGTACCTACGTTCACTTTTATCAATGAAAATTGATTCTTCAATAATAAAATCATATACAACAATTACTTTACCAATAGATGAGAAAGAAATTAGATGGGGTATCTATAAGTTATAATTTTTCTATTTTATAGTATCTACGTTCAAATGTTCAAAGATAAAAAGCACACTGCGTCAAGTCAACAGTCGTTTTCTTTCTTTGTATGCTAATCGTAAGGCCAAGTCGACGATGTAGATCACCAGATTGTTGCTTACGATACTGGTCGTCAGACTAATTAAAGAAAAGAATATGAAACTCACAACACAGCAGTTAGCGGTATCTAAGCTACGAGGGGGTATTTTTAATTATACATACAATGTAGAAATCTTCCAGAAGTGAGTTAGTTTTAATATGAAATATTCTCAATTTTTTACCTACTACACACTTTCTTAAATTAATGAGGAAAAATTTGTTGCTGTTGTCATAGCCCCGCCGGGAATCGAACCCGGGCTCTTTGGCTTTACTCGCCAATGCTATGACCACTAAGCTACGAGAGATGACAACAGCAACAACGATAAACCGTACTATTAGTCACAGATCCGTCGAACTAATGTAACTATATACTGAATATAAATATACATACAATGTAGAAATCTTCCCGAAGTGAGTTAGTTTTTAATATGACATTAGTGCGACGGATCTGTGACTAATAGTACGGTTTGTCGTTGTTGCTGTTGTCATCTCTCGTATCTTAGTAGTCAAAGCATTGGCGCGTAAAGCCAAAGAACCCGGGTTCGATTCCCGGCGGGGCTGTGACAACAGCAACAAATTTTTCCTCATTAATTTGAGGAAGTGTGTAGTGGGTAAAAAATTGGGGTATTTTTAAATTCGCGGATTTAGGGGTAAGAAGTAGAGATAAAAGTACGAATTTATTTTTCGTTTTCAATATACTCTTACCTATATACATTTTTCCAATCTTTCAATTAACATACGTATACCTTTGAAAAAAAAATGTTTTCTCTTTGTCTGAAAAATAGGCCGAAACTGCATCTTTCACTTCCTCGTCGCTTGAAAATTTCTTCCCACGAAGACTTTTTTCAAGTTTGGGAATAAGTAATAATCGTTGGGAGCTAGGTCAGGACTGTAGGGTAGGTGAGTCAAAATTTCGAAGTCCACCTTCTGCAGAGCAGTCATCGCGCGTTGTCGAACAGAAGGAGAACACCTTTGATCAATTTTCCTCTTATTTTTTCTTTGATTGCTTCCTTTAACCGCTTTAGGATTGAAACATAGTATACTCCGGTTATGGGGACACCTTTATCTTTATAATCGATTAACAGGATTCCTCCTGAGTCCCAAAATATTGTCGCCACATTTTCCCAGTCGATTGTGAAACCTTAAACTTCTTGGGTGGTGGTATTACTTTTTTGTGCCACTGCATAGAGTCCTGTTTGGTCTCAGGTTCATAATAACGAACCAATGTTTCGTCCCCAGTAATAATTCGAGTCAATATTCCATCTTCACTACAGAGGTCCAAAAAACGCGCTAAAATACTCCACACGCTATGTTTTTTTTGAAGTGGAGTGAACATTCTCGGCACCCATCTTGTGCTGACTTTAGTCATGCCAAGATGATCGTGAAGAATTTTAAAAACGGTTGCATCTGATATACTCCTACCATTTCTGTCAGCTGTTTCTTCTTAAGTCGGGCATCTTCCAGTATTAATTTTTAGAGTTTTTGAATGATTTCCGGAGTGGTTACCTCGATCGACCGGCCTCGCCGTGGATCGTTTCAAGTGAGTTTCTACCTTGCATGAAGAGAGTGTGCTACTTGTAAACCATAGTTTTGCCTGGGCAAGAGTCCCCGTAAATCAGCGGTCGGGGAACCGGGGTAAATTACCCCAAATTGGGTAAAAATGAAATTTTTGGAGGTAAAAATAAAACTGTTGTGAGTAAAAAGTATATATTTTTAATTTGCTATTTTATAAACCAGTTAGTATTTTTTCCAACTTAAACAATTTAGCGACATATGCAGGCCACGCCATCTCACTTAACACCACTAAGTGTTTTCGAGTTATATCTTTGCGCAGTAAAGCACAGCCCCCCGGCTACCTGCTCAGTCTGTGCCATCCCGTCAAGATAAATTACATTTTTAGTTATTGTTTTCTTTTCAAAATTATCATGGGGGCTATTATATGAAAGATGCTAAAAAGAGGCGATATCGTTTTTTTTTTGCTCTTCGCCATGGGGTAATATCAACTTACACAAAAATATTTTGGGGTAATGATTAAAAAAGTTCCCCGACCGCTGCCGTAAATGGATGACATCTCTTCCAGTATGGTTTGAACTGATTTTCCTTACTTGGTGAGGAGCTTTATAACAGTGGGGTACTCCATATTTTACAATTTGTTCCCGATTGACTTACTTCGTCAACGACAGTTTAAAGACTACTGACCTAATTACGATAAAACTTGGTATTTATACTAATAATGAGTTGCTTAATTTGTAATGACTCGAGTAAGTACCCTCACAAATGACCCATTCCGCGAACTTAAAAACGCACCCTCGTAGGTTCTTCATTTTCCTTTTCCTGTCGATTCGTTTTATTGCTGCTAGCTGATAAGATAGCGAAAGCGAATAAGTTCTTTGCCCTGTATAATTACTGATGTGAATACGAAAATGTATAGTTTACAGTGCCTACTTCTTCTCTATTGGAATATGAATACAGAAAATGTAACTCAGGCGTATGAAAATTGAGTTTTCGAAGAGATTATTAATTCGGGGCCAGTTTTCCATGTGCGAGCCACTGTATGTGTATAGGTAGGTACTTTATGCAATCGTTGTGTGCAGAAACGCGTATTGGTGAAGCTGTTTGCGCACAATCAATACCCCTCTAAACGATGGACATTGCAAAGAACAATATGATGTTATATAACTACGTTACTTATTATAGGTATCTACTTGTAAAAGGTACTTCGAGATTATTAATAGATACACAAAAACGATTACTTTTAGGTTTCTATATTTTAAGGGGAAACACCGAAATTACAACATTATAAGATTTATTACGCGCATCCGTATTGCACAGGCAATGATATTAAATCTGGAAATCTATAGGGTTGTTCGGAAAGTCATTTCGTTTTTTCCCGACACAGGATTTAATTGTATTCTTTTGCACCCAACTTCACATTTAAGCCGTATAATTTTTATATGCTTTGAGAGCTCTTATAGCAAGGCTTGTATGTGAAAAATTCCAATTAATTCTACGCAGTAGTTTTTGGTTGGTGCCCTTTTAAATATGGAGAGCGATAATCAGCATTTCGGACATATCTTACTGTTTTACTACAGAAAGGGTAAAAATGCTGTTCAAGCCAGAAACAAATTGACTGATGTGTATGGAGAAGGTGTGCTGACAGTACGCCAGTGCCAGAACTGGTTCGCTAAATTTCGATCCGGCAATTTTGATGTCGAAGATGCACCACGTTCGGGAAGGCCGGTTGAAGCTGATAAAGACGCGATAAAGGCATTAGTTGATGTGAACCGGCGAATAACAACACGTGAGAACGGATTGAGGTTAAATTTATCAAATTCAACAGTTTATGACCACTTGAAAGGCCTGGGATTATCCTCGAAGCTCGATGTATGGGTTCCCCATGTTCTCACAGAGAGAAATCTGTGTTGCCGCATTGACGTCTGCGATTCGCTTCTCAAACGTCACGAAAATGATCCATTTTTGAAGCGCATCATCACTGGGGACGAAAAATGGGTTGTATACAACAACCAAACGCAAGAGGTCATGGAGCAAAAAAGATGAACCGGCTCAAACCATTTCCAAAGCCGATATTCACCAAAAAAAGGTGAAGCTGTCTGTTTGGTGGGATTTTAAAGGAATCTTTTTTTTGAGCTTTTACCGGATAACACAACGATTAATTCGGAAGTCTACTGTCATCAGCTGGACAAACTGAATGATGCACCTCAAATGAGGAGGTCAAAAACCTCCTCGATCAGTTTTTTGCCAGCAAAGACCAAAAATTTTATGAGCGTGGAATTATGCTACCGCCAGAAACATGGCAAAAGGTGTTGGACCAGAACGGTCAATATATAATTTAATAAAGTATTTGTTTATTATACGAAAACTGTCTTTCATTTCCACAAAAAAAAACGAAATGACTTTCCGAACAACCCTATAACTTGACTATTAAATATTTGAAATTTAGTACATCTACCTATGGTATATTTTACAGGAATTAGTAATTGTCGCGCCTTTTTTATTTCCTATTTTCGAAACGACTGCGTATGTACATAATGTACAGTATAATAACTTTTTTTGACGTCAATACTGATAATGGTCGAGTTATTTTACAATTAGTTCAGTATTGTATTATCGTTGGTAGGCATAATCTTTAAACAAAATTTTAAAATAGAAGTATTGTATTATGTTTTTAGCGAATTGTTGCGGTTAATTCTTTACAACTCAACAACAGGCTAATTGTGCGCAATTGGTAAGGCGGTAAACAAATTTAAAAAAAGAAAAAACTCACCTGTATATTTTGTCCTTGACTGATATGCAACTGTTGAGCTTGATTGATCTGCAGGGTCGGCCCCGTTGAGTTGTTTCCGCCATTGCAATTGTTATTATTCCCTCCGCCAGGACCGGACGAGGGTCGTGGGGGCGTGCCCCCGTTGAATCCACCTGAAGCGCTGCCTGTCGACGCGGCCGAATTCGTGTTCGATCGTGGTAGATAACCCGGTCCTGGACTCCCGTGACTACTGGCGCCAGGACTGCCGTACGGTGAATACTGTTGCTTGTAAATACCTGAAAAAAATAATACAAAAATATTTTTTTTAAGAAAAGAAAGTGCACGCCACTGGCCCAAAGCACGCTATGAGAAACTGAAGTAAGCGTGCGTAATCAATTATTACTCAGTAGTTTCTTATCAACTTGTAGAAAAGTAGTTTTTTAATAAAACACGACGATAACTTGGGTTTCATGTTCAACGAAAACGATAATACATGCATATTGTTTACAAATTTCAATAAGCGGTGAAATCATAGCAAAATGCAGTTATTAATTTTATTATTTAAACAAATTGAATAAATCTATTACATTACAATTAGATATACTGAATTTAAATTGTCAATAACTGAGTATCTGTAATATTTTAATCGTAAGTTATTTATGTAGGTAACAAACTGATTTCTATTAGGAATTAGGGGGCATATTTACCTGCGCCCTTCCTTTTCATGTCGTATTCGTTGCCCTGAAAGATCATTTCCTGTTTTATCATGTCAGGCGGGGTGAAATTCGGGCTATTTTTGAAATTCTGATTCGACGGACTTCCGTATTCCCCTTGGAATTGGAAGTCCTGGTACGGAGATCGTGAGTTCAACGAACGATTGTTAGGGTTGAAGGAGAGCCCTATTTGGCTCTTGTGCTGGTGCTGTTCAGCCATCTGTTTCAAAGTTTGTGCGGCTGGACTTAACTCTGTCTTCGGGAATTCCATATTACTGTAAAGGAATGAGTGTTTGGTAACATTAGTGGACCAAGATATGTATCCCAACGTCAAAAACCACGATCAGGATCAACAAACAATAAAATAATTCGAAATGGTATGTATTCTGTCGAAACTGCCAGACGCCGATAGCGATTTCGATCTTTTTGGATCTCATCAGCGCGTCGCAGACAGCTCCGACAGAAGACAGAGCAACTTTTACCTGCTGTCTTAACAGCGCGTTTTAGAAAACACCACAAATGGCGCAGTAAACGCCATCTGTAGTACGATGCTACATTTTAGGATTACGTATGCTCCAACAAGGTCGATTTGAATGGATATCTATTTGCTGAAACGAATCCCGGCGTAGCTAACCTCAACGTGGTAGGCACGTTAGCATAATCGAATAAAATAATTCGAAGTGGTTTGTATTTTGTCGAAACTGCCAGACGCGTTTTTGTTTTTTTTTTAATAAATAATGAAAACATTACAGGGTGTTGCGTTAATAGTGTCAATTATTTGTGAACGGGACAGGAACGCATACTTTCGGAAAGTCATCTGAAGACGGATCTTCATCATCAAAAGTAACGATCGAGATATCAAAGACTATAATCGTGGTGCATTAACGGAACGACCAATTTAATATTTTTTAACACCCTGTATAAAAGGGTTTTTGACATTGTTGCCTATATGGCATACAAACATACTTATATGCAGGTATCGTCTTTTGGTTTACCTTTTGAACTTTTCAAAGTATTAACCGGAACATAGACACAAAAGCCTAAGCAGTGGTGATATAAATTCGTTTTTTTTTGTATTCTTTATTATGCACACACACGAACTATACATACAGAGACACATATATCTATGTACCTATGTGATATACCTTCCTTGTATCTACTTCATTTAAATTGTTAATGCTATCCGGTAGGCAACAAACTTCGATTCAAATAATCGTAACCTTTCTTTAAAACTGTCCCCTGATACGTTTGCTGTTAAATATATGATGAAGATAATCTCATAGATATGCATGTTCCAGAACAGCTCGCATTATTTGAGAATTTCGTCGTCAAACGTTGTACCCATGGATATTTTGAAGTTATGTACAATATTATGTAGTGATGGTGAACGGAAACAACATCATGACAAATAATAGCAGTCTACAGGCCAAAACTCGACAATTAGTTACTAGTTTCATCATTTTTGGTACTGGCATTTTCAGACGTTTAAAGCCGCCTATAGATTACGCGAACCGAACAAGAGGGCCATGGGGTTGCGAACATCTCACATTCGTTTCGTGTGTGCGCCGATCCGTTCGTTGTCAGTTCATACTGGGAACACAGAGATTCCTGGTTGTAGTTAGGACGTTATTTGTTATGATTGTATGTTCATAAACAGGAGTTAACGGAAGTAAGAAAACACAAGAGTATCAATTAACACTGCTGTGGAACTTTAAGCAATAAAACGTACACATCCGAAATTCCACAATGCGTTTAGAGACCTTCGACATCCACGGTGTCATCCTCAGTTAGAGATTGAATTAATTTTGCAATTCTATGTGCCCATCACAGGTACTAAGTTTTCAAAATCTGAACATGTTAATCGCCTGAAATTTGTATATTGTCAACTGATCACTTGAAATTTTAAATCATTTAGCAAACCATAACTACTTCTTTTTTTATACAAAATTTTTATGCCGGTAACTACTGACGTTGACCTTTCTGTGTTTTTTGGAGAGATTTGCCAAATCATGTTAAGAAAGCGTCATCGGTTAAAATCAAAGTTGTACGTTTCTCTTCTACAGGCATCATGGCCATCGTGTTGTTCGCGGCAAATTTAGTGGACACGTCATGGATAAACGCGCGTTTACAATTTTGCTTTTGACAGTTTGACTACTATTTTCGTCATACAGTTGTTTTTACTCATTGTTGGTGTATGGATTTATACAATTCACAATTTCGAGAAATAACTGTGGATAAGGGGTAGAGCTGGATGACATGCTAATCGTAATAGGTAACCTTAGTTTCACATTTTTAAAGAGCCTATCCATTTGAGATGATTAAAAATGCGAGTAGAATTTCAAACATATATGAGTGTCTTTTCTTCTTCCTTGAGGATCTTCTCGCTCCTTCAGTAATAACTAATAACGAGGCAAATAGGGAAATTGGAAAATTTGAAAGTTGAGATGAGTAAAAAAGGGGGAGTTAGGAGGGGTAGAGGTAAACTTAGATTAGATTACTGTTTACAAATAGTTGAGGATGTGGGAAGTTCTAGTTTTAGGGAAATGCGAAGATTAGCTTAGCATAGGAAGCAGTGGAGGTGCATTTTCAAGCTGTCATAGGACTGACGACTTTATGATGATGAGCAGTGTCTTTTCATCTTCCTTGAGGATCTTCTCGCTCTTTCGATAATGACTCGGATTTTGAATGCAGAAATGAGAGTATCTCTAGTATCACTAGTACCATTAGTAGTGGATTTAATTTTACTAAGAAAGGAATGTTTTGTTTTTGAAAGTAAGCAGTCACAGATATAATTCATTTATGTATACAATGAGTCGGTACTTACTCAAGGAGCGAGTAGTTTCTCTAGAAAAAGGAGTAGACACTTATAGGTTTGAGATTTTGTTAGCATTTTGCAAATGACGTGGGTATGTTAAAATATATGATTTTACTAATCAATCATCCAGCCTCTTAGACGGTAAGATTTCATAATATCACACTGAAGATGAGTGCCTTAATGCTTTTTATCTCAAGTTTCTTGGATTTTACAAAACCACTTTTCACGAACTACCTACCTGATCTCAAGGCGATACCCTACATATTCACACATTGTCCAACTATGAATTTGCAAACTTTTGCGTCAATAACAATCAACTAAAGATGTCTAGGTTCGATTATATCACCTACCTGTATGAGATTCTATTATTTTTATTGACCATGGACCCGTCGAAAATAGGCGGAGAATAGTTCTGATTGTTCTGGTTCGCGTTTTTCGCATTATCGTACACATTGTTAATATTCGTTGCGTTCGACGTGGCAGTCGCGATGCCGCTTTTGGAGTCTTCAATTTTTAGTCCGTTCATAACACCACCACCGTTGTTACCACCTCCCCCGATCTCGTTGTTCACGTTCACGTTCACATTCTTTTGCTCGTCGAAATCGAAGTCCTTCATCAGCTCCGGATAATTACTAATGTCCGAAATGAGATCCTTGAAAGCATCCGAAGTGATGATTTCATCGTTGGTATCTTCGCCGATGAGATCGGGGAAGGCCCCAAAACCAGCACCGTCCTTTTCCAAGGCGGCCGCGCATTGGTCCAGGTCCGCAAAATCATTGTCCGGTTCTTGTTTCACGCACTCGACCAGGGACGACGTGGACGCGTTGGATCCTGCGGTCGGATCAAGACGTACGTTCGACGACGCCGGCGTCGACGGATTGGACGATTTCGGGGACGACACGTCGCTTTTAACCGAGGCGTTCGTGAGCGCCTTGACCGTAACGTTGGTCGAAATCTGTTGGGGTTGCGAATTGGCGGCGGACGTGGTGAACTCGAGCTGTTGCACGATTTCAACAGAAAACTTGGTGAGTCCGTCCGGCTGGTGCTGAGCAGTGCCGTGCTGCTGGGTCGTACATTGCAGTTTGACGGGTGGTTCGAATGCGTCGTGGCCGCTTCCGTCATGTTCCTCAGATGGACGTTTGAGGAATTTCTGCTGCTGTAACGAAAAAGAAAAGAAACGCTTAACAAAATAAATAAAGCAATAAATTTTTTAACAAGCTTGCAAAGATAACAGCTGTTAAAAGGCCTCCAATAAAGATATCTCTTTTGTGACTAATTGATAGAGTAAACAATGGCCTCTTCCCACAAGGATATCTTCCATTGTAAAGGCGACTATTTACTTTCACGTCAATCATCAGCCACCTATTGTATGCAATTTTCAAATTCAAAATGATGTTTATAATATATCTCGTTTGCAGGCCGATTTTTTGAGAGAAAATATGCGAATATGCTTAGATATCAATTGGCTGTAGCATGTTAACTATTTTGAAAAATCCAATAGCAATTATCAGTGGAATTATTTGGTAATATACTTAAACGTTAAATCGGGACTCAAGGTTGACGATATCGATATCAATGGAATACGAACAGTTGAGTGTGATGCTTGAGAAAAATTTTCAGATTGGACGGCGGAAATGGAGGGTGATGCAGTTTATCGAACCCAACGCATGAACCCATTATTATATTAAATTAAATAAATTTATTATTTTTGTTGTGAGTGGTTTTCATTATCAAGAACTTTGACACCAATTTTTTTGCGACAAAAGTGGTTTGTTTATCAAGCAAAGTTACATTCTCTTATTTCTAATCTCTATAATCTGTCGCTCCAGATGGTTACTGGAAAATAGACGAAATGCCAGCCTGATATCAAGCTGGTACTACACATAGTGTATCTCGAAGTAGAAATGGAGTGCACAAATACTGCAAAGGCCGTAAATTACCGCTGAAAGATGGTGCTTTTGCCCATTTTGTCGGTAGTCTCATCCTGCAGCTGTCCAGCGAAAAACGACTGGAGAACTATAAGGTGGTACTAACTATGCATACCGGATCTCGTTTTAGAAACGACATGGATAAACAAGATACAGATTACAACCCTTATTACAGTATTTTTCTAAGCCATTGCCATTTCGAGATACGATATGTATAACGCTAGCTTGCCGTCTCTCATCGAGTCGTTTTTCACCAAACTGGTATCAAGTATCAAGTATCATCTTTCAGCAATAAATTATGGCCTTTACAGTATTTCTCTATGCCATTTCTGTTTCAAGATATACTATTTGTAATAGAGATGGGAGGAGACCTGGTTTGGATCGGATCGGATCATCATCATCATAAGGTCGTCAGCCCTAAGACTGGTTGGACACGTACATCGACTCCTTCCTATCCTGAGCTAATCTTCGCATTTCCCTAAAACTAGAACATCCCACATCCTTAACTATTTGCGAATAGTAATCTAATCTAGGTCTACCTCTACTCCTCTTAACTCCTGGTTCTTGCTCTAATATGTCTCTGACTAGATCTTCATAGCTAATAAGGTGTCCTACCAACCTATTATCCCTATATTTTATTGACTTCCATAGAGTCCACTGTTCTCCTATTCTTTCTAACGCCTCTTCATTTTTAACTTTCTCTATCCACGGTATCATCATCATTCACCGGTAAAGCCACACTTATATGTGATACCATATTCTTCTAACCTGTTCTTTTCCGCCGCGTCCACCGTCTATGTTTCGCACCGGTACAGCGCCTCGCTCTAAACATACACTTTTAATAATCTTTTTCGAATTTCTAAATTAATCGTTCGCGAACATAGAAGTGACTTCTTTTTATTGAAAGCGGCTCGATCCTGCGCTATCCACTGCTTTATATCCCTACTGCTCATTCCGTCCTGAATTATCTGACTTCCTGGATACCTAAAATCGGCCACTTCTTTCTTCTAATCTTTCGTTTCCTATGTTTACATTCGCTCTTTTAAGTCCTCCTTTCTAGATGCTAATACTGCTATATCATCTGCAAATCTAAGCATACTAATCTTTTATTCCTCTATATCTATCCCTACAGTTGTACTGTCGTTAATGATGTTGGTCGCATCTTCGTTGTATAGATTAAAAAGTAGGGGTGACAGTGTGCATCCTGACTCTGACTCCCTTCCTAATATTTACTTTCTACGTTGCTGCTCCAGCTCTATAGTTGCCTGTTGCTCTTTATACAAACTAAGTATCACTCTTCTATCTCTGTAATTCATTCCTACATTTTTATGTATATTGAATAATAATACCGGATGATGAAGCTGGTCAATTTTACCAGAGAAAAAGGGAAAAACCAATACCAGCATTAATAATTTAGTAAGTACAACAAAAAAACCTACCTAACGAAAATTGGTAATTAAGATTGTATTGGGATAGCTTGTTTGTCCTAATTTGTAATATTTATTGATTACTATACTAAATTATTTGTTGCCACAATTTCGGTGTTTCTGTCGCTTTTTGGGATATGTACATCAGGTTATTATGATTTTGTCACCTTGCAGACTTTTAGTGTTTATGAACGTTATAGACTCATATTAACGGTTTCAATTCAACCTTCTCGTCGAAAATCCGCAAAGAATTAAAATTTCATTGGTCTGGTGTTTAAACGACTTTTTGGACGGGATTGAATATGATTTGGGACGTTAGTGAAGGTGGTATTTAATGGAAAATTTGTTAGAACGAAGACATGAGCCATTAACCGTAGTGGTTTTTCCGGGTACTCGGTTATCCGGTACTCAGCAAAATCACTATACGGTGCATCTCTAATGTGTAGTACCAGCTTGGTATCAGCCTAGCATTTCGGTAATTTTGGTAACAAATTAAAGACAAATTATAGTGCACCTTAAAAATAAGAAATACTTATAACATTGGTGTGCTAACTTGATACATGTGTTATGTTTTGGTGTTCCTTACTTTATAGGAGCAAAACGAACCCTTATGATTTCATTCACTCAGCTTATTACCTGTTATTAAATAGGATATCAAAATAGTAAAAAATCATCAAAAGGTCGTCAGTCCTATGACCGGTTGGACACGCATCTCCACTCCTTTCTATCCTCAGCTAATTTTCGCATTTCCCTAAAACTAGAATATCCCACATTCTTAACTATTTGCGAACTAGGTCTACCTTTTCTCCTGTTTCTGTCTCTAATATGTTTCTGACTAGACCTTGATGCCTGAGAACGTGTCCTACTAACCTATCTCGCCTATTTCTTATTGACTTTCATAGTCCTCTGTTCTCATATTCTTTCTAATACCTCTTCATTTCTAACATTCTCTATCCACGGTATCCTCATCATTCGCCGGCAACACCACATTTCGAACGCTTCTAACCTTTTCTTTTTCGTCGCACCCACCGTCCATGTTTCGCATCCGTACAGCGCCTCCCTCCGAACATAGACCTTTAACAATCTTTTTCGAATTTCTAAATTAATGGCGAGCACATAAGTGACTTTTTTTATTGAAGGCGATTCGACCCTGCGCTATCCCCTCCTTCCATCCTGACTTATCTGACTTCCAAGACACCTAAAATCAGTTACTTCTTCTAATCGTTCCTAACCTATCTTTATATTCGCTCATTCCATACTTTTTCTTCCCTTGCATACCAGTATTTTTGTTTTACTCTTATTTATTTTTATACAATACTGTTTTGTCAATACCACTTGAATTTTATTCAAAGCTATCTTTTATTTTCTAGACAATATTGAAACTAGACTTTTAACAAATCAGGGAGTTAAAACATATACATGTTTTACCTTAATGTTTCAAAAAAAACAGAGCGATGATTCTAGGTTTTGTGGTTTTTGAGAAATTTGCGGTTTCCATATCAACGTTTCAGAAGCATGATACCTTCTGTGCCGAATATTCTCGTCTGGTCGGTTTTATTTTATTTCTTGTTTTTCGTATGTGCTAATTTGAACATCCGAAAGAATATTTAAGAAAATCTTGCAAGGACATTATAATCGTACGTCCTTTTACCCTTTTCCGTTATCTTCTTTAGGATAATCTGATATTTGCTGGTTCTGTCCGAAAATCACTTTTATAGCGCCAAAGTTCTCTTATTTTTATTGTGGTGAATAGAACAGAATAGATTGCAAAAAAATTTTCGTTTGTTGTTTATATGTATACATACATGTGTTGAACTTTACCTTGGCATCAGAAGACGTTGCTTCCTCTGGCATGTTTCGAAAAACACGAGATTTCGTTTAAATTCCGTCACATTACTATACCGGAGCCGATCGGGGATGCGGCGACGCTTACAATTTGCATTCGGACGCCGCGCGCCACTTTCACACAGGCCCGTTTAACAGAATGATCCGAAAAATAGCAGCAACAGCCCAACTACCGAACGAACAGTAATCGCCGCACAATCACGTCGCGTTCGTCGTCGTCGCCGCTGCCACACTCATTATTATTACATTACATACCATTATTGCTTAAGCGCATCATGCGCCCGTACGAACTGTATCTAATAACCCCAGTAGTCGTGCTTAAATAAATAACTTCACAACGGCACAGTTTAAAAGAGAGAACACATGCGATCGCTGGTCTACCTATCCATATCTATATACATAGTACGTGTATATTACACACATACGTATACGTATATAAGATTATGTACATGCTAACGTTTTTAAAGTCTAATAATACAATAACAATTGCTACATGTCAGTAGTATTCATTTACGTGTATTGTACTTTTGCAACAAAACCACGGACGTCGCATACACGTAAAATACACAGACACGCGTGCACTTATTGTTATTATTATACGCATTAATGTACGTATGTATGCATGTGTGTCTGCAAGTACGTGAAGCAGCAGGCGACAAACTTAACACAAACACAAGCCGTTGTCGAAACAATAACCGCGCGCGCTATTATAATAAACATAACACATGCTGCGTTGTGTTGTTGATGTTTGTTGGTCCCGCGATTCCGCGGCGGCGGTGGTGGTGGTGGTCGACGTCGTGCCACCGTCCGCGGCTTATTAGTAGGCGTCGTCGTCGTACGCCGTCGTCGCGGTTGGCGTTTGGATTCATGCACAATTTGCAATTTTGATACGTCCGCATGGTTTATTTTAATTTGATCGTACGTGCATATGTGTATGTATAAAAGTTAGACTATTA